CTTCAGAACTACTATGGGGCTATCAGAGCACCCCGCAACGCTTACAAGATGCAACACAGGATGAAAACCTTTCTGGTGAGCCAGTGGTTTCAGGAGAAGCCGTGGGCAGGCAAGGCACAGGTGAGAGACGTGCTCCTGCCTCGAGCTCACACTGCCATTCTGTCACATACCTAAGATTCAGGGGCGGGGCTGGGGGGAACCCTCCTTGGGAACCTGGTGAAAGGGAAAGCAAAGGCCCCACGGGCCACCATCACCAGTCTAGCCACTGTGGGCTGCTACTCCTGGCAGGTCCTGGGCCACCATCACCAGTCTAGCCATTGTGGGCACAGCTACTCCCGGCAGGTCCTGGGCCACCATCACCAGTCTAGCCACTGTGGGCACAGCTACTCCCGGCAGGTCCTGAGGCCACCATCACCAGTCTAGCCACTGTGGGCACAGCTACTCCCGGCAGGTCCTGGGGCCACCATCATCAGTCTAGCCACTGTGGGCACAGCTACTCCCGGCAGGTCCTGGGGCCACCATCACCAGTCTAGCCACTGTGGGCACAGCTACTCCCGGCAGGTCCTGGGGCCACCATCACCAGTCTATGCACTGAGGGCCCAGCTACTCCCAGCAGGTCCTGGGGCCACCATCACCAGTCTAGCCACTGTGGGCCCAGCTACTCCTGGCAGGTCCTGGGGCCACCATCACCAGTCTAGCCACTGTGGGCCCAGCTACTCCCGGCAGGTCCTGGGGCCACCATCACCAGCCTATGCACTGAGGCCCCAGCTACTCCTGGCAGGTCCTGGGGAAAGGCAGCTTTGCCAGAGGGAAAGAAGAAAGGAAGAGAGGGAGGGAGGAAAGAGGAGAGGAAAAAGGAGGACAGGAAGGAAGGAAGACAGACAAGAGAGAAGGAAGAAAAGGGGGAAGCCAGGAGAGGCTTGCTGGGAGCCCCAAGTGCGAGCACCAGGCAATGATGATGGGCGCTCCTGCTGCGAGTGTTGTGAGCCTGCGCCCCTCCCTCAGGATCCACAGTCCCATCTAGTCCCAAAGGATTGAGGGCCAGAGTTGAAATTCTAAACCGTGGAAATTCCAAGGCCCCACATCTCTGGAGCATTTAACCCACACGCCATTTTAGAACCATATATGTGTATATATACATGTACCGACTAATACTGTGGATATCATAAAACCTGTTTGGTTTAGTTTATTTTTTTCCTTTTTGTCATTATTGGAGGCCATAAAGCTGATGCCAATACCTCTACTGACTTGAACCTGCATTTTATTATTTTTGTAGGCATTTCTTTAAGTTCTCCATCTTGTCCGTTTTTGCAAGAGTTGGTTTAAAAATTAAGAACATACACTGTACGTACACTTTCCTTTCACATGTACATTGCATTATGCTGAAATAAAATAACTCAGCAAAAACTTAATTTATAATTCAATGAAACTTCTCCCTTTCTTGGGGAAGTTTAATATCTTGCGGCAGGTAAGAGACCTGAAAGTAACAGGGTGGGAAGTGGGTCTTAAGTTCTCAGAAGGAATTAAGGGTTGAGGATAATGGTATCTCTCCTCTACAACCCCACACGGATACCAGGAGAACTGACTAGGGCACAGGACCATTCACCGGTGTCCAAGCAGATACTGCATGCTAATCAAAATTAACATCCTTCTTAGTCCTTTACACTTAAATCGCAAGTAGAGATTCTCATGTATCCCCCTCTCACAAGGGAGTGTCTGGAATACCCTGGGGGAGGGGTGATGGCCAGGGCCACATGAGGACCTGGATGAAAGGCAGACGCTGAGTCAGCTGGTCTGGGCGGGTGGTGGTGCCTGGGAGTCTGCATTGCTAGTGAGCACCCTGGGGGATATTGTTGTTACTGCTGCTGCTGCTGCTGCTGGCCTGGAACCACCTCTGTGTTTCACCACTGCAGGGTAGCAAACTGGGCCTCTCTCCTGGAGCCAGACTGTACTCCTAAGGCAAATAGGATCAAGGAAAATGACCCTCCCCACCAAAGTATCAGATAATTCTAACTAGAGTATAAAACCAGGAATGGTAAATTCAACCATCCCCATTGGGCTCCCTGCCAGAATTGACCGGGCTGGGGGGAAACAGTGGGAAGAGGTGAGAAAACTCTCCCTAGGTTCCCGTCACCATGCCAGGTACACAGAGGATGAAATAAGGCAAATGTGTAATGAGGAGCTAAGGTGGAGGCCCCATCAGAAGGAAGTCAGAGCTCTCTGGTTTCTCAGCCTCATCCAGGAACGTGCCGTGGTCAGCCTGTGAGAATGGTAGTGCCCAGTCCAACCTGCCACCATCAATCAGAGGGGGAGGGGGGATCTGCACAGATATAACGAGAAGAATGAAACAGAAGAGAGTGCTGCTGATCCAGCGCACTGGGGACCAAATCCAACAAAGAACACAAGCTCATTATCACAAGAGTCAAGACACCAAACTACAGAGTTTGAATAAGCCGAGACTCTAAGAAGGATGCCACACGTACACATGTATTCATAACAAACGGCATGTTTACACTCCTACCAAGTGAGAAGGTGTCATCTCCCTATCTGCCCCATCAGCTGTGAAAATTCTCTTCACACCATTGTACTCTAGTTCATTGGGTCTTCTCTTGTGGATTTTAACGTTGTCAGGAAAGGGAGCTATTGTCCCGAGGGGAAAACACAACTGTGCCAAAATAAACCGAAATTCATGGAAGGACAGGCATTGTCATGCAGCATAGAAGCTGGCCATCTCTGGCTGTCAGAACAATTATGGAAAGATAATATATGCATTGCCAGAACAAAATTTCATTCTTTTCCAGTCTAGCTTGTGACTAAGAAATATTCATATACTCTGGGGTTTTGTTGATTAAGCAAACTGGTATATTCCATCTATGCATATCACAGATTTTCCGAAGATTGTGGAAAATAAGAATTTAAAAAGCTGGGTGTGGTGGCTCACATCTATAATGCTAGCACTATAGGAGGCCAAGGCAGGTACACTACCTGAGCTTAGGAGGTCAAGAACAGCTTGGGCAAGAGGGAGATACCATCTCTAAACAAAAAAGAAAAGAGAAGAAAAGAAATAGCTGGGCGTTGTGGTAAGTACCTGTAGTCCCAGCTACCTGGGAGGCTGAGGCAAGAGAATCTCTTGAGCCCAAGAGTTTGAGGTTGCTGTGAGCTGTGACACCACAGCACTCTACTGAGGATGACAAAGTGAAATTCTGTCTCAAAAAAAAAAAGAATTTAAAAAAGATTACAACCTTTTCTTTATGCACTGGGACTTTCCCCCTGATAAATGTATTCTTTCTATCTGATGAAGAAACAGAAACATGAGGGTTGCAAAAGAAAAATACACATGTATAACTCTCTCATTTGTGTGTCCATTTGTTTCTAGAGAATGGGGAAAAGGCAGGGTTGGGAATTCTAAAGCAGCCCCTGGGAAGGGCTGCACACCACAGCACCACACCAGCACTTGTGGAATCAATCTGCTGTAAGTTAAATTATCAAAAACATATGCCAGGGTCCTCATCCATACCACCTCAGGATGTGACCTTACCTGGAAACAGGGTCTTTACAGGAGTAATTATGTCAAAATGTGGTCACCAGGGTGGTCCTTAATCCAATTAAGGTATTCTTATAAAAAGAGGAAATTTGGGCACAAAGACACATACAGAGAAAAGATGATATAACCTAACAGGACACAGGAAAGCAGAGCCATGTCCAAGCAGAGGAGAGAGGCCATGCACACATCCCATCCTACAGCCCTGAGAGGGACTGTCCCCTGCTGACCCTTCTGTCTAGGACGTCTGGCCTCCAGATCTATAAGACATTTCTGCTGTTTAGTTCACCTTGTTTGTGGTTATGGCAGCTGCAGCAAACTGAAACCATAAATGGCTGCATTTAACTAACAGTCGCCTTCCTAATTTGCTCCTGAATTTGGCTTCCCTGAAATCCAGTATTCTCGTGATCATGTTAAATGGGAGACGTCTCTTACAGCACTAGATCTGAAAACACAGTATTATCTACTATGCACAATACACTTGTAAGTGTACTACGAGCTACACCTGCCTCGCGTCTTTAGCACGCCTCTTGGACCCGTGGGGAAGCTGAAACATGGAGGCTCACTCAGTATGGAAGATAATAAACATCCTTTCTGAATTCCCCTGAACGCCCTGGCCCATTATTACACCCTCACGTTTTGAACTCTTTGGAAATTTCTTATTTCTGCTTTTCAAAATGTCTACCGTTATTAAACGCGTGCAACACTAAATGAAGACCAGATAGAAACAGCGACACAAAGGTATTTTTCTGAAAATGGGGGCAGGGGGACGGCTGTGTGCGTGAAACGTACTCTGGTTGCATTCAGTAACGTTGGAAAAGAAAGAAAACTCAGCGGACTCGAAAGAGAGATAAGACCTACAAAGGCAAAAAACCGCAAGACATTTTTTAAAATTATTACTATGTCCGCATCCTCCTCGCGCAGCTGGCCTAGGAGTAAGGCAGCAGCCAGGATGCTCTGAGATGCAGGCTGCGCACCCTCCCAGCCACTGCGCATGCGTCGCGCGGCTGCCGGCCCGGGTCCCTGGTCCCTGTCCAGGACTGCAGGGAGACGGCCTGGCGGGCGAAACGGGATGGGAAACCCGCCCAGGGTCCAGGGGCTGGCGCTCCGTACTTGGACGAAGCCTCTGGTTGCCCCAGTGGCCACATCCCTTTGGCTGCATTCTGGCGGCTCGCAGTGACGCCACCCTGAGCATCTTCAAACCCTGCTCCCTAATGCACAGCGTCTTGTATGGTTCCTCCTTCGTCATTTATCTAAATTCAAGCCTTGAATTCGTCCCCAGAGTAGAGACGGGGCTCCGCGAGGCCCGTATCCCGCGGGAAAGCGTGAGCGCGCGTGGAGCCAGGGGATGCTGCGAAAGGCGCCGCATCCGAGCCCTGCGGCGGCGGCAGCGGCGGGCCTCAGTGCGCGTGCGCGGGCCGGGCGGCTGCGCGCGCACCTCCGCCGGGCCTCCCTCACCCCCCAGACCGAGAAGGCGGCACCATGGCGGCGACCCCGCCCGCGCCCCCGCCGCGCCCAGTCACCCACCTCATCTTTGACATGGACGGCCTTCTTCTGGGTGGGTAGTCTGCGGCCGCCTCCCGTGGGGAGCTATCCCGGGACGGCTGGGGGTCGGGGTCGGGGACGGGGTCCCTCAGGGCCGGGGGGCCGCGGCGGGGCCGTGTTCCGGCGGGGACCCTGCGGCTCCCGCGCGTTGGGTCCCGGCCCGGCCCTGAAGCCGGGCGGCGGCTGGCGCCCGCGGGTCCATGTCTAGGCTGACCGGCGCGCGTGGCTGCGGCGTCTACGCGGCCCCGCACCCGCTTCCGGTGGGCCGGCCGCGCGTGGGGTCGCAGCACGTGGGGCGCGGCCCCCGGGGACCACCGGGTGGCGCGCGGCTGCGGGTCCCTCCCACCCTCCTTCCGGTTACCCACCCGTGCGGCCCCGGGCGGCGCCCGGCCTCAGTGTCCCCATCTGTCTACACAATAGCTTCCGGGACGCCCGCCCCGCGGTCGCCGCTGTGACTGGAGCATCCTCTGTGGCGGTGGTTCTCAACCCGGAGATTTTGCGCAGTCCCCTCTTCCTCCCCCCGCAAGTGCATTTGGCAATGTCTGGAGACATTTTGGGTGTCGCAGCTGGAGTTGAGGAGGTGAGGTCACTGGCATCCAGTGGGGTGCAGGCCAGGGATTCGGCTAAATTTTCTGCAGTGCCGGAGAGCTCCCCATGGCAAGCAGTTATTCCACCCCAACTGTGCATGGTATGGAGGTGCAGAAGGCCTGCTCAGTGGCCTGTCTGCTCACACTGACCAGTGCCATGGGCGTCACCTGAAAGCAGAAGGTGGGACCCCTCCACACCCCACACGTGCCCGGTCAGAACCCGCATTTTAACAACACAAGTGCCTGAAAATTTTAGAAGCACTGCTCTCACGGAGCTGAGGCATTAATAAATCTTCAGATAGTCAGTAATAGTATACTTGAAGTTCACCAGCAGTCAGATAAGTCAATCCTAGTATACATGAACCTCCCCAGCCAAGAGGAATTCAAGTAGAATTCAAAGAATAAAACATTCACTTTATAACTCAAGAGAGAACTGTGCTGAAGTCTACCCCAAACTACAACACAATTATCAGTATGAAACGTAAGAAGTTCTAACTTCATATCCACCAGAAGGCTTCACGGATCTGTGAACGTGTCTGAATACTTGATGTGCACTGCTGGCCTGCTGGTTTACATACACATATATATTGCTTCATTTCAAAACCCCCGGAAGGTAGGAGGAAGTATTTGCATCTGACTAATAAAAAGGGGGGGGAGAACCAAACCCTGTAGCTCAGAGACGTGATGCTACTTGTCCAAGGTCACACAGCTGATGAACCAAGGTGAGGAATGATTCTGGATTGATCTGGTTCTAAATATAAGTGACGTTGAGCTCATCTTAAATGGTGAATGTGACCTTGCTCCCGGTCATCATGTCACTGGGTGCTTCAATAGTAGCAGTGATTTTTTTAAAAAGGCACGCAAAACATTGTATGGGCACAGAGCCCAAAGGGGAAAAAAAAATCTCTACAGAGGCCACTAATTGGAGTGAACAGTATATGTAGCTACTAAATTTGAAGTTAATTCAAAATTTTCAAAAATCTTCTGGGATTCCTGAGCATAGTTTGTAGATATGAATTTTCCCACTCGGATGGTCAAGAAGTTAAATTGTCAAATAAATCCCTTACCCTCTAATGAAAGGTCCAGAGAACCTGTTCTGGGAGTCTCATGAATTTTAATACCAACCAAAATGCCTCGTTAAAATTAAATTTATTAAACTTCGAAATGAGCTTGATGCCTAATTCTCATTCCAGATTCACTCACAGCCATGCCCTGAAGTGATGAATATTTGTTTAAATGTCAGTACAAGCATTTGACCTAACATTGTTACCCAATCCTTGGATCTGGTCAGATAGTCCAAGAGTTAAAGCTATTTGGAATGATAAGTTCTACCTCTTTTTCCCCCCTCATTTTCTGCCCTTTTCTTCCTTTGCTGTCCTCACTTTCCTTTGAAGTGGAAAGGCTTTGCAGAATTTTCTAACAAATTTACCTTTGCATGTTCTGTTCTTTTGCAAAATATTTTATATAAAACACAGCTTTCCAAAATAAACCACTTTATCTCATTTAATCTACTGACTAAATTAGGCCTGCTTCAATTCTTTAGCACCTCACTTCAGTATAGCTGTTGTTTGCATAACAATGTATCATCAATTTATACTGAGTTCCTTTGCAATAGATCTGTTTTACAGAATTTTTTTTTGGGAGGGGGGGACAGTCTCACTCAATTGCCCTGGAGTTGAGTGCCATGGTGTCATAACTCAGCAACCTCAAACTCTTGGGCTCAAGCCATTCTCTTGCATCAATCTCCTGTGGAGCTGGGACTACAGGTGCCTTCCTCAGGCTGGTCTTGAACTCCTGAGTTTAGGCAATCTGGCTGCCTCGCCTTCTAGAGTGCCAGGATTTTACAGGTGTGAGTCACCTCACCCAGCCCTGTTTTTTCAGAATTTTGAATGCAAGTTCTTTTTGTCGGTGATGTAGCCTCATTATTTGAGTTCTCAGGGAAGTAAACTTGAAAACAAATAGTTTCGTAGAAAATTCTTATATGACGGGGGCCTTGCTTAATCAGAGGAGAACAGGGAAGTAAAATGCAGGTTTCAGAGGAAATGTTGAGGAGAAAGAAAGCTTACTTTCTCATGCTTTTGAAATGTATGTGCTATGAGTTGGCCTTTCCAATGAAAACCATTTTGGAGTCTGTTTTTCTGGACACTTGGTAACAATTGGTATGATTTAGGTGCCACTGTTTGCTCTCAGGTGCTATTCAAAGAAAGAGGAAGGAGATTGAGCCTGTAAACCCGGATGAGATTTTGAGGAAGAAGTAAGATAAGAACTATTAAACAATATCTCAGTATCTGTGTAGGAAAGATTATGTAGTTTATAAATAACTGAAATTAGAAAGCAGAAAAGATGGACCCAGTTTTTTTTTTAAAAGAGAAGGAAGTTTACTATCTGGAGCCGCTGTGTCCCATAGAAGTAGAATTGAGCCAGGTAACATTTCCTGGCACAAGTTTCAAAAAAAGAAAGGGAACTGAATTGGATGCTATATTTTATGTAATGTAATGTGTCCAAAATACTATTATTCCACATGTAGTCCATGTAAGAAAGTTATTGAGATATTTGGCATTCATTTTTGATACTAGGTCCTGAAAGTCTGTGTGTATCTTATAGTCAGATCTCACTTTGAACGAGTCTTACGTCCCAGCACTCAATAGCCATGTTTGGTGTGGGGCTACTGGCTTGGACAGCGCAGGCCGAGTTTTCTGTGGAGCCGTCAATATCTGCTATTGATAGTGATGGGGGTGGTGGGAGGGCTAGTCAGAGTGAAGATGTTAAGAGTATTTAGAATTTGGAATATTGGTATATGTAAACGTGCTATACTGTACATAAAATGTGTTTTCTAGGACTGATAGACTATTTAAAATCCTTTAAAAAACCAGCAATGAAAGATAAGCTTATTTTCAAATACTTAAAAAGTCAGCAGAAAATAATAAGGTAAATCTGTGAGGGGCACTGACAATATGTGCAGTATTGATCATAGCAGGATTTTAATGAGTGTTTTCTGCGTCACCATCCTGTGATAGAATAAAGACTGGTTCTGTGCCCTTTTGCATTCCTGTAGCTTTGTCCTTGCCAAATAACACACTTGAGACTGTTTAGAAGTGCCTACTCACTGTCCAGGGCTACAAGACCCTGCAGGGCCCTGGAGGGAGGTGTCTGGATTTCACCAAGCCTGGCACTGAGGAGATTCAGGCCTTCTGAGCCAGTCTTGGCCAGTGTGTGGTCAGACTCCCACACATAGTGAGTGCTAACCTCACCTAGGCCTGCAGGCCCCCAAGCCCTAGGCCAGTCTCTGGCCTGTTAGGAATGGGTTGCACAGCAGGAGGTGAGCAGTGGCTAAGGGAGTTAAGCTTCATCTGTGTTTACAGCTGGTTCC